CAGGGGGGTGTCCTGGAGCCCAGCTCCTGTGGCCACCGCCGGCCCTGCCACAGGAGGGGAGGGGGCCAGGCCTCTGCCCAAGGTGCTGTTGGGGTTGGAGCATCTCGGGGGACCTTTAGCGAGGGGCTGTATTTTCCCCTGAAGTCTAAGGAAAAAAGGTGGAAGTGTGTTCCTAAAGTGAGAGCGATCGCAGGGGTGTCTGGAGCCAGGTCACCCTGCTGTCCCCAGGGGCCAGCTTCATGCTGCTGGGTCGGGACAAACTGCAATGACAACAGGCAGGGTGCTTTGGGTCTGGTTAAGCTTTGTTTGGGTCTTGCTGTTCACAGCTCTGATAACCTCCCCCCTGCCCCGCCGACTCCTGGGCTTGGGATGCCTTCGAGGTTCACCGAGTCTGTTGGAAGGACCCCTTCACCTCTCCCTCCCCCCATGCACCATGGGGGATTGTCCCCTCTGTCCCCAGGGAGCCTGGGCTGAATGGGGTTTTATCACTTGTGAAAAGTAACAAGTCACCGAAGGGGGAAGCTGCAGCCAAGGGGAACAAAGAGCAGCTCTGCCCCCGCGTCCCTCATCTGCAATTCCAATGGGCCATGAAAGCGCCCGACCAGGATGAACTTTGGAGTTAGGCTGTCCCAGGTCCCCAGCATCCTGCTCCTCCTGTGTCCATCCCTCATTGTCTGCCCCCCCGCCCCAGCAGGTGGGCTCTGGTGTTTCTTGCCCGATGATCCTTTATCCTGGACACATGTTGCTCCTGGTGCTGAAGTGAAGCAGAATTAAAGCCCTATCCCAGTTTCAGGGGGCTGGGCATACAAAAGTGGAGGGAAAGCTCCTTCCTGTGCAATGGTATTGGAAAAGCATTTAAATCACATAATCCTTTCTGGAGGTCTTAGAATGACTTTGCAGTGCATGAGCAAATTTTTGTGGAATGGCAGTGGGCAATCATCTGGGGGCTCTAGGGAGCCCTGTAAGCATGACCCAACTGATGGTGACTTCCTTTTTTTGGCTTGTCTGTTTTGAGCAGAAGGTGAGGAGATTGACGTGGTGACGGTGGAGAAGAGACAATCACTCAGCCTGAGGAAGCCAGTCA